TTTTAAAAATCATAAGAAGAAATGGGTAAAAGAAGAAGAATGTTTGGGGTTTTTCTGTTTGTTGGGGTGTTTGGGTTTGGTTGATTTTTCTTTTGTTTGGGGTTTTTATTCCTTTTTTTGTTTTATAGAATACCAGGTTGCAAGTGACCTCAGTGATCATCTGGTCCAATCTTGGACAAAGTACCATCTAGACAAGATGGTTCAGCACCCTGTCCAGCCGAATCTTTAAAGCCTCCAATACTGGGGAACTCACCACTTCCATGGGGAGATTATTATAATGGCTGAAAAATTTTCCTCTTGTTTCAAGTCAGTACTTCCCTGGGAGTAATTTGTACCCATGAAAAAACATCAACACTGGGATAGAAAAGTTCCTGATACCAGTTTTCCAATGAAAGACTAATTTTCATCCACTGATTTAGTATCAGCTAATGTTTCTTTTTCAGATAAAACCTTCATAGAATCATAGAATAGTTAGGGTTGGAAAGGACCTTAAGATCATCTAGTTCCAACCCGCCTGCCATGGGCAGGGACACCTCGCACCAAACCATATCACAGAAGGCTTCGTCCAACCTGGTCTTGAACACTGCCAGGGATGGAGCATTCACAACCTCCCTGGGCAACCTGTTCCAGTGCCTCACGACTCTAACAGTAAAGAATTTCCTCATTATATCCAATCTAAACTTCCCCTGTTTAAGTTTTAACCAGTTACCCCTTGTCCTATCACTATAGTCCCTAATGAAGAGTCCCTCCCCAGCATCCCTATAGGCCCCCTTCAGATACTGGAAGGCAGCTAGGAGGTCTCCATGCAGCCTTCACTTCTCAGGATGAACAGCCCCAACTTTCTCAGCCTATCTTCATATGAGAGGTGCTCCAGTCCCCTGATTATCCTTGTGGCCCTTCTCTGGACTTGTTCCAACAGTTCCATGTCCTTTTTACGTTGAGGACACCAGAAGTGTACACAATACTCCAAGTGGGGTCTCATGAGAGCAGAGTAGAGGGGCAGGATCACCTCCTTCATCCTGCTGGTCACGCTCCTGTTGATGCAGGCAAGGGTATGGTTGGCTTTCTGGCCTGCAAGCGCACACTGCCAGCTCATGTTCATTTTCTCATCAACCAACACCCCCAAGTCCTTCTCTGCAGGGCTGCTCTGAATCTCTTCTTTGCCTAGCCTGTAGCTGTGCTTGGGATTGCTCTGACCGAGGTGTAAGACCTTGCACTTGGCATGGTTAGACTTCATTAGGTTGGTATCAGCCCACCTCACAAGTGTGTCAAGGTCCCTCTGGATGGCATTCCTTCCCTCCAGCTTATCAACCAAACCACACAGCTTGGTGTCATCAGCAAACTTGCTGAGGGCACACTCAATCCCACTGTACATGTCACTGTCAAAGATGTTGAACAAGACCGGTCCCAACACCGATTCCTGAGGGACACCAGTCGTTACTGGTCTCCAGCCGGACATTGAGCCATTGACCACAACTCTTTGCATGCGGCCATCCGGCCAGTTCTTTATCCACCGAGTGGTCCATCCATCAAATTGGTGTCTCTCCAATTTAGAGACAAGGATGTTGTGTGGGACAGTGTCGAATGCTTTGCACAAGTCCAGGTAGATGACATCAACTGCTCTACCCCTGACCATCAGTTCTGTAGCCCCATCATAGAAGGCCACCAAATTGGCCAGGCAGGATTTCCCCTTAGTGAAGCCATGCTGGCTGTCACCAAGCACCTTGTTGATTTTCATGTGCCTTAGCATGCCTTCCAGGAGAATCTGCTCCAAGAATTTGCCAGGCACAGAGGTGAGACTGACTGGTCTGCAATTCCCTGGGTCATCCATTTTTGCCTTCTTGAAAATGGTGGTTATATTTCCCTTTTTCCACTCATCAGGAGCGTCACCTGACTGCCACGATTTCTCAAATATGAGGGCCAGCGGCTTTGCAACTCATTCGCCAGCTCCTTCAGGACCCGCGGATGGATTTCATCAGGACCCATGGACTTGTGCACATTTCGGTTTTTAGGATGGTCTCGATCCAGTTCCTCTCCTACAGTGGGCGCAAGGTCTTCATTCTCACAGTCCCTGCATCTGCCTTCCAAGACTTGGGTGGTTTGGTCAGAGCCTTTGCCAGTGAAGACCGAGGCAAAGAAGTCATTCAGAACCTCAGCCTTCTCCAAATCCCGTGTATCCAGTTCTCCCGAGAGCTTCCTGAGGGGGCCTACATTCTCCCTAGTCTGTTTTTTATTTGCTATGTAACTGTAGAATCCCCTCCTGTTATCCTTAATATCCCTAGCCAAGTTTAATTCTAAGTTTCAATTCATAAGATTGATCACGTCACTATTAAGTGAAGGGGGAAGTTGAAAGCATTAATTTATTAAGAAATATTTTTTTAAATTCATATATATTTTAATTCCTTATTTTTTAGAAAACCTATTAAGATGCATAAAATCAGTACTACTATTTTAATGGTGAAAATGCTACTTAGATTTGTCTGTTCCTCTTGTTTAAAGTATTGATTGCAAATGAGCAAATTTGGCATACCACAAGCTTTTGTTTAAACTTCTGTCTCAACAAAACTCTATTCAAATTTCAGATTTCAGATCTGATTCAAATCTTGCAAGGATTCCTTGATACTTCAGCAGCTGCCTTTATTCTTCTCAGTTCTGCTTTAGTCATCTGCATCATTTTTATATGCACAGATTGCAGGCCAATAAAACAATGTAATCTCTCTACTTTCTGTAAGAACATTCTCTGACAAATCAGATACACCTACAGTTTCCAAACACCACTGGGGAACATCCCATGTCTAATTCCCATCATTTTAACTGTGTCAATTTGTGAAAGAAATTAATTAGGCTATTTATATTTATAGTTTCAACAGATTAGAAAGATTACGCTACCGGAAATGAGCCCCTTCTATAGTAAACTTCTATCAGCTGTATATTTTAATTTCTCCACGTATGCTAAACAGAAGTGATGTAGTTTAAACACATAGTGGGGTTTTATGGATTCCCCTATAGAAGTTGATTGTTTCTGTTGCTTATCATTTGATTCCGATTTTTTTTTTAAATCACACAAAATCTTACTTTATCATAATTTCATGGTATATCTCTGTTGTCTCCTATATTCATAAGCATAAAAAGTGCTTTGACATGGTCACTCAAGCCATGAGATATCATGGGTTTGCATTACTTCTTTCTTTAAAAATAAAGCTTTGTTATACATGAACCAACCACAAGTACACACATATGCTTGTGCGTATTTTATATAGCATCAGTTGCTCAAACGAAGAAAACAATCGATCACCAGTAATCTTATATTAAGTAATATAACAGTGTTATTATGAGAATTCTCTAACACTTCGTTGTATTGCTTCTAAATACTTTTAGGGTTTTCACAATCACCAGATATTAACAAACTTAACAAGGCAGGTATCTCTACAGTTAAGAGTTTTGCTAATATTAGATTGATTACTCCTACAGCATTTCTAGGAATGCAGGTCCTTTATAGGAATCTGAATAAGCCTCATACTCCTGTACACACTTTGATATCTGCAAAAATAACTAGATTTTGGGGGGTTTGGAATTTAAAAGCATTTATAGACTTACAATACACACCTGTTAATCACCTATTGCAGGGATGATTCTACAGCTGTGTTGTGCAGAATGTGGAATAGCAATAATCAACTGCTCAAGAACTATGAGAAAAAGAGAAATAAAAAAATCATGGAAAACCAAAAGAAACAGGATGGAAACAAAGCCCACCAGAACTGTTGAAAAATTAAGAAAAACTATTTTATTTGAATTTTTAAAATTACTACTACAAAAGCCTAAATTTCAGACATTCAGGAGAAGCTTCTGAAACAGAAATATGCTTTAAAGCTCAAAAGTTGTAACTCAGTACAAAAAAAAAGTGGCATGGTAAAATGTATCATTTCTAATATGGTACTTTTTAAACTACTACTTTCACACAATGAGTGGAATCACAAAACAAAGCTGACAGATCTGTTCTCCTGTGCTTAGGTTTCCACTGTCTAGGAGCATTGTTTGCTGCCCATGTATGCAAAGTACAATGACTATTTGTATTATACAAACAAGGTTTCCTCACACATTTGATCTCAACTGCATGCTAATCATATTATCCCTTATTATAAAACAAGTACTCTGTTATCTTTAATATTATGAAACAAGTTTAAAAGTCAGGAGAATGATAATCTGTTTAAGCTTCTTTGTCTCAACAGCTTTATTACTTAAATTATTTCAGCAACATGCTAAAGAGCAATGTACTTCATTCAAATGACCATATTATACATGTTTCTCCAAAACCTTACTATATGGAAGAGAGAAAAAAAAACACAAAACTACAGTAATTTTTCTTTTTAACAACTGCCTTGTATCTCACTCCCCAAAACTGTCACATTAAACTTCTGATAGTAGGAAACCATTTTGATAAAACATACAATGTCATGGGTTTACCACCTACTACAGCTGCTTGGCCCTTATACGTAGCTAAAAGATGGCTTCTCACACAGGAATTAATGCACAAAAATGCAGTTTATGTCTGGAGAACTTCTGTTGGTTTTACCTATTGGTGCTTCTCTGGTTCATGTTCTCTCTCACTTTGAAATTATGTCAGCTCCTGAGTCTGATGATTGATTTTAACATTAGTCCCAAAATGAAACATGGTCAAGTTACACATGTAATACTGAAGTACAATTACGTCACTGTCTCTTTAGTCAAAATATACTAAACCAAATAAACAAATAAACAAAACATACAAACAAATTCATTTTCCGGTTATACAGTAAGGAAAAATCCCTTTTCTCTCACAACCTCTTGAAACGAAAAGGGTTTAATTAATAACTGATATTGCCAGTTGACGTTATCACAGACTGGGTAGGACTTTTTTTTTTTTTTTTAATGCTCCAGGAAACATAGTCATATGCTGGAATAAAGATATTCACAAAACTATCCAAATTCAAGATAAAGAAATAACAAAAATTATTACTCACCCTGAGCTTGCCAATTTGGAACTCAATAAAAAATTCTCTATCCTGAGATCTGAAAAACATTGAATAAAAGCTTTCTATCACCACTAACAATAAATTATTATAATAAATATTTATACATTAGGTATACAGATAGTTCAATATTGGAAATGGGTAATATAGATATAGGTTATACAAAAGTCAATTGGCTTAAACCTTTAATAGTCTGCTTCAAAATAAGCACATTTTATGTCAGAAAAGCAGCCTGATAAAACCTTAAGCTTTCAAGTGTGCTCAGTCTTTCTCTCCCTATCCCCCAACAAAGTCCTGAGCAAAAATTAGTTTTAAGCTCTCTCCTGGTACTGAGAATTTGTGAATTTCCATGGAGACTGATAAACTCCAGGGATATCTGAATTGAAGAAGTTCAGAATGTACACCAGAGCAGTTCAAACTGTGACTTGAAAAGTTTACTTGAACATAAATAGCTCCTTTAGAAAACAAATTATTTTAATGCTTAGAAGATATTAAAGAAAAATAAATCAGACTGCATTCTAAAATTCTGGTTCTAAGAGTAGAAAAACAAAATAATCAAAATAATAATAGAGGATATACATTTCATGTTTGAAAGGGATCAGAATGCTCTGTGACGGCAGAAGAAAGTGCATCAGGGTAAAAGCAATAGAGAATCTGACTGAGGTAGATATTTTTGAATCTGGGGATGCAAAAATGGATTTTTTTTTCTATAAAAGCAGAGGAAGAAAACATATTAGCACAGCAAATCTCCTTTATGATCACCAAATACAAATGATTCATTCATTTCACAGACACAGATGCGTTTCTTTATAATTGCTAAGATTTGTTAAATTTATCAATACTATAACCATGGTTATTTCATTAATAAGGCTGGAGGTTACCCATTAGCTTAATAAGAACAATCTAAAATTGATTTTCCTGCAGCAAATTAGTTTTCAACTTTTTGTCTACAGGCATTTTTCTTTTTCCAGTACAACATTAATGAAGATTAATGCTCAAAATTTAAAATCTGGCAAATAAATATTAGACAATACATGAAGTAAAAACACATTCATTTGAACAATAAAAAAAAGGAAGTATAGAACAAAATGCATAAACATAATATTAAATTTATTTTAGTTTTATGCTAATGGTAATAAATATATAAAAGAAGTAGTTAAATTACTATAGTGTTAATCTGCATGCTTTGGAGGAAATATGTATGTCATTGTAACCTTAAATTTATTCAAGACATCCTATTAACAGGTTATCCATTTGGTGTTTGCTATGTTGCCAAGTTCTAACAATTTTTCCATAGTACTTCATTAAAGAAATTAGTTTTGCCTTTTGTTTTTTATGGGTTCTCATTTTACATTTTTGGTGTGGGTTTCTGGTGTTGGAGATTTTTTTGTTTGCGTTTGTTTTTTTTTTAAAAATCTTAATCAATAAATGGCATATTCTTTTTCCAGGCTTGAGAGGTGGGCCTGTGCAAACCTGAGAAAGTTCAACATAGCTAAGTGCAAGGTCTTTCACATGGGTTGGGGTGATCACAATCACAGCTCCAGGTTGGGCAGATAAACGGTTCAGGGAAGACCTTAGGGGAAGGACTTGGGAGTGTTGATTGGTGAGAAACTGAACATGAGCTGGCTTCAGGGTGTACTCACAGCCCAGAAACCAATCATATCCTGGGCTGCATCAAAAGAAGTGTGGCCAGCAGGTAGAAGGAGGTCATCCTTCCCCTCTACTTTCAGAGCCATGGTTGTTTAGTCTGGAGAAGGCACTGAGGATGTTTTCTAGCAGCCTTCCAGTACCTAAAGGGGACCTAGAAGAATTCTGGAGAGGGACTTTTTACACAAGCATGTAGTGATAGAAAAAAGGGGAATGGTTTTGGAGTGAAAGCAGGTAGATTTAGATTGGATTTTAAGAAGAAATTCTTCACTATGAGTGGCCCAGAGAAGTTGCGGCTGCCCCATCTCTGGAAGTGTTGGGGCTGGATGGGGCTTTGAGCAACCTGTCCAGTGAAAGGTGTCCCTTCCAACACAGAACATACTATGATACTAATATTCTATGATTCTATGATTGATTTCAAAGTATTTTAGACATGTCAGAAAAGAACCTGAGAATAAAAGTGTATATATTCAGCCTTTCTTTAACTTAAAAAAAAAAAAAAAAAGTCTTTTTATTTTTATTTTTAGAGTTTCTATGAAACTTTTGAGCTGGACATTTAGAAGTGAAAATCGCATGGGGCCACTAGAAAAAAAAAAAAAAAGCAAGCTTTTTAAACCAAATATGCTTTGCAAACAGCTGGTCTAAAAGAGTATAAATTAATCTTTGGCTTCCAGTACCTTTTTTCTATTTTATCATTTTGAATAAGTGTGTGGAAAAGAATGCAGAATATTTTGCTAGTTTTTACACATTGCACAATAGAGTTACATAGGAGTGAAACTGGGGGCAGAAACTGAAATCTTATTACCTGCTTGTCAGAAAGCCAGCCAGTTATAACACCACTCTAATCCTAATGTAGAAAACCTCAAAGTGCTATCAGGAAACTGTAGGTTAATAATCTGCAAGCATAATCATAGTTCTGTTGTGAACTAAAATGTTGAGCTAGAGAAGTCACAAATTCTTTCTGTCCACAGACTGTCTTGCTCCATAAAATCATCTTGGAAGTTTCAATTAAACTTTCTGATGCACTCCCGGATGTTTAAAAGTGTATTATTTCTATATATATAAAAATAAAAAAAAAATCAGTAGCATAGTTAATTATACTGTATTGCCACAAAATTAATTGCACTTCCGAGAGCATAGGAACTCTATGTCCTGAAAGTAATTTGGTTTTATTTCAAGTAAACAGTGATTTATCCTTCAAGCCTGCAAATACATGACTCAGGGCAAGGCATTATTCCGCAACACTTACATCCTTAGTTGGTTCCCACATCTGTAGGATATTTCTTCAAAAATTGTCAAATTTTATAAGGCTTGTTGCTCCTGAATTTCTTTAAATTTCACAATTTAAAGTCAACAAGACTTCTGTTGTTTGGAATCATCACAATTTTAGAAAAAGAGTAGGAGGCTATTATTCTGTGAAAATGTTTTATTCTATTGACATTATTTCTTATTAAAAATCATTGCAAGAATGATCATTAACATCAGCTTCCTTTTACAGCACCCCGTATTTAAAGGCACAACGGGTACTAACAGGCAGTAACAACTACTATATGATGACTCACTACTGGACAATGTTAGTGTACCTGTGTTTCTACAGGTCAGGAAAAAAAGTGTTTGCGGGAGATTAAAACTCTGCTTTCAAGGATCTTTGTGCACTTTGACTATAAAATACTAGTAGTAAATCACTATGGAGAACAAACCCCACTATTATGATGATGATTGCCAAGATAAATTACAGTAGGAATTATAACAGTGTGTATCATTGCCTTATTTCCTTGTACAAAAGTTACACCAATTATCAACAAACATATCTTTGTTTACTCATTGATACTTAAAAAAAGTTCCAGGAGAAATCTTATTTCAGTCATTTAAATAATATCCTAAAATAACCACACAAAAATGAGGATATAATTTAAAATTAAGAGTTTTCAAGAAGGCTGTGAAAGAAATTTGTAACACTTCACTTAAGTGTAATTTATATTTTTGGCAGCAATTTGTGGTGAATTTTTGTATGTCTGAAATATTTTGCTACTTTTGGAAAATAAAAGATCTTTCTCTTCCTAGTTCTCTTTAAGAAATTTCTGGAATTTTTAGAGAAAAAACATAATGTAAAAGAGATAGGTGATAGCTTCATAGGTTATTCTGATATCTAGTTCTTCCTCAACTGGAAAAAATAATTGAAGTACAGCCTATGGTAACAGCAGTAGGAGAGCATTTTATTTAGGACTGCTTTGTCATCGTACCTGATAACTGTGCCCTTCAGTTAAAAAACCCCAAACGGCCCCTACTTATTCCCAAATGTATGTTTGGTTCATGGGCTTTAAGCATATCACTAGTATTTCAACAACAGGTATTTCACAACCTTTTTCTATCTCTGCTGTATCAAAATCTCTGTCAACCTGACAGAATTTCTTGAAAAGACAGAAAAATACCTGCTGAAGAAACAAAAAGGTTTCATTAAATTTTATAATCCATTTTCATAATCTCTTGAGGAAACATTTTGGTTTATGGCAAAACACAGTCTTACACGTTTCAAAGCTTAAAAATTCAAAAAGGTATCCAATTATTTTATGGAGATTATCTTCATAATAATTTACATAAATTTCTTGGCAGGTAATCTATACATGCATAAAATACCTCTCTTCCACTTTCTTCTCCCTATTAACCTTAACAGGAAATCCAGCTTTGTTGCCAAAATGTTACAGTTTGGGCTTTCTTAACACAGCACAGAACACATATTTTACACAACAATATTATCAAATCCTTTCAACTAAAGACAGACTTTTTCTTTCAGTGTCTCTTTGGTAATTCCTTTTGTTTATGTGAATTTGGAAGGACTATATCTGGACTTCAGGGCAGGGTCTCTCTCCACTTTAACACTTGTGGTCATGATGCCCACATACACACCTCTGAGAATATTATTTACCATGATGAAACTTCACTGTGTACTTCCCTTTACATACTTGCCATTAAAAGTAGTTTCACATGTATAGGACAGGCAGGGAAGATGGTATGCTTAAATATGTCCTGAAATTTGAATGGCTTGAGAAGCAGTATTGTGTGACCTATTAAAGAATTTGTCTGTGCTCTCCTGGAAATTGCCGTATTAGGCTGTGTTAAATTTTTGTGGTTTTGCACTCTATTCAGGTTTTTCTTCTCTTTTACTTTGTGCATTTTGTGATGGCATTGAATTTTTGTAGCATACCGCTGATTTTGAATAATACTGCTCAGCTGCTTGTCAGACACAGATTTTTAAAGGTTATGGTTTCATCATCATTCAAAAATTATTTTATTCTTTTTTAGACACTGAAACACAACATGGCCAAAACAGACCCCTGCAGGACTCCCCCGGCGAAATGATTAAGAATGATTCCTTGTTAACTGAAAGCATTT